AGGGGTCAGATAATGGAAATGCATGTTTGTATATTGTCACTGCTGGGTAAGAGGAAGGCTAATTAACCGCCAGACAAATAAATAACCATCAGACTCTGTGTGTTAACTCAGCGACAGAAGGGTGAAAAGAAAAAGGGAGAGTGAGGGAGAGTGGAGTTCATCGCCTGTGACAGACAGTGTCAATCAAACTGCTGTGTGGAAAGCCTCACCGCCCAGGTCTTTGAGTGTGCATTGACTCCCTGTTCATCTTCACTGCACAGTAAAGACAGAAGACTTACAGCTGGACCGCTTTCAAAACCTTCATTCAGCTTTTCTCATGTGTTACCGCTGCAGAACACGTCCATCAATGTCTGGAGCTTTTAGGTTCGTTTTCCTCCTAAAGCCTGATACTCGATCTGGGAGATTTGGCCCCCAAAAAATGATCATGATAAATTTTGTCATCGTCCGATCTCGATTACTATCACGATTTTTAATTTTTTTTAAACTGTCTGTGCTAAAAACAAAAGAAACTAGAGATTAGTTTAACATTTTATTAACATACAAAGTAAATAACAAAGAAAATTAAATAAGATAAACTTAGAAAAATATAAAAAAACATTTTAACTCAATCGTAAAACAAATGTCTATAAATATTAAATAATACAGTGACCTAGTTTACAGTCCTGAGTGTTTTTACAGGTGTGAAAGACCCAAAATAAACAAACGGGCCCCTCAGGGATAATGAAGACGCCTTAAAATGTAAACATTAGATGTTGTAAACGTAGATGATATAATTGATTGCTGCTCTGGTCTGGTAGCTGCACCGCTAGTTGTCGCTAAACTGTTAATGCTACTTGTGCCGTCAGCAGTGTCAGGCTGTACAGACTCCGCACACATTTTCATGCTTTCCACATAATCTGTTGATCAGATCTGTTGTGTTGCAGGTTTTTGAGGAAACTGACCACCTACATACTTTACACATCGGCCTAATTGCTTGACGTCACTTAAGAGATACCTGAACCACCTCCACACAACCGACGTTAAGTGACTTTTCTTCTCAACAATGGGCATCTTCGGAGGCTGACATCTATTTTTCTGTCCACAGCTCCACGTTCAGCTCCATGTTCGGTCATTCTGTTTACTTCTTCGGCAGCTTACAGAAGTGAGCAGGAAAAGCTTGACTCTGATTGGCTGTTGTCACGCACATTTCTGCCATGTCTGATCAAGTAAAAATGCTCACAGCTGATCACCGTGATCAAACTGAAATCTATCGCGATCATTAATTGAGATCATAAAATCGCCCAGTCCTACCTGATACTCACATAAAAGTTTAAAATCTTAATATAAAGTATGAAAGACAAATAATAGATATAACAGTTTTGTTTTTACTGTGTGGTGACAACAAGATGGCATAAAGTGCACGCTACTCATTTACTCGTTACGTACAATTCAGGTTATATTTGAGCATCAAATATATTGAGATAAATTATTTTTTTAAAAGAGAGTGGGGCTTAAATTAAGCCTAAAAATGGGGTGACTACACACACTCTTTTACCCGGACATGTCTTCTTTTTTGGGGACTGTCCGGCCTTGTCGGGGGAAGTTTATAAATTCCTTCAAATGTCCGGGGTTAGTATGGAAGTTTCAAGTTTGTGTCGCATGAACTTACTGAGTTAGAAGCGAGTAAAAGACACTCGGTCTGACCCGAAAAAACTCTCAAAATTAACTACGCGTGACTCTGTGACTCCACCTCCGTGTAGTCGAGTCCTCTTTTTGGTGATTCAGAATATGGTCACCCTACCTAAAAGGCTTTTTTTGTTTGTGCAAAAAGTCAGACAAAAACACTCACTAAGATCGGATCTGTGGTCAAACAAGACTTTAAAGTAAAATATTCGAATGCTGCCAGCTTTAGGTGGCGCCAATTGTCTTATGACGTATAATCACTCACCTCACACCACAGGACAATCTGACAGGATAATTTTTAGCACCATCAGATAATAAGGCTCCTGTTTACTTTTGTTAGAAGAGGCTCATATATAGATCTTATTATCCGTATCTCTTTTTTGAGGTCTGTTTTCAGAGTGTAAGGTGAGAGGCACCAAATCTGGGATCCTAGCGTACTTTGTAAATCAGTAACTTCCCTCCGGTGATCAGTTTGGATTAATTGACACGCCATCCTGTTGTGCCAGGAGCCAGATGGATTCTTCCTGCAGTGACAAGAGCAACAACAGTGCTAACGGGGCCTTTACAGATGCAGGCTAATGGTTACCTCGATGAGGAAACATCGCCATCTCAGCATCTTTGGCGCCTCTTTCATGCGTCGACGGGAAGGAAGACAGCTGACAGAGGGCGGCACTTCTGCTTCCTGCTTAACCTGATCAGCTGTCAAACTCTGAAAAGGGATTAAGGAGAGCTACACTCCGTCCAGATGTGATTATTTTAATTCGGCAAAAACTAGAGCAGTATCCAAATTAAAAAAAGGGAGTTCACGGTTGTGGTTTACTTAGATATAGAAAGTTTAAATGAAATCTGCAGATAAGGATGTCCGTCAGGTCAAGTCTAAGAATTATAGAGAGATAAATAAACCCTGATGGTGTTTCTATACGTCATGAATAACCAAATAGCAGCGCTGCGCCCTCAGGAGTCACCGTGGAAAAAGCGACTGCCCATTTTGTGAGTGATGAACGTTTCCGAGAAGAAAAAGATTAAAAAGAAAACTTTTTTTTTTTTTAAGAAAAGTGTGGAGACTTTTGAGAGGGGAGGGGGGGTTCAGAGGGGCTGTGCTCAAATCCCCAGAAAATTCAAAGTGAGAGAGAGGTGGGGGTGGATCTGCCAGAGGAGTAGGGTGGAGGGTGATGTATGGAAGCGTAAGAGTAAGAGTTTATTCACTGGTGTCTGAGGGAGCCTTTCAGAGCCGCTGACTGAGTGTCTATAGCGGGGCAATCAAGCATAGGACTAGAAGGCTTTATCTCTAAAATACAACCCCACCTCCACCACCCTGCTCCACCCTTCAAACGCACACACACACACACTCTATCTCTCTGTCTCACACACACACTCCCTCTATGGTACCTGTGAGAGCCTCTCATGTGCGGCTAAGGGTGCCATTGAGGGAGACAGGAGGGAGAATAGGCCGTGAGGGACAAACAATCCTGAGGAGTCTATCATTCTGTGTGGTGTTGTCTTAGGGCCTGAATAGAGCCACTGTGACCTCCCCACTACCACCTCCTCCACCTCCTCCTCCTCCTCCACCCTGCTGCTCCATCTTTACCCCTTCTATCTGCTGCCAACCACAACCCAGCATCCCTGAGCATCCTGCCAATAAAGGCCTTATCGTCAACTTTCACAAACATGTAAATAATCTCTTTCAGACGGAGCTCTTGTTTGTGATTCAAACTTTCACAGCAGGGGATTTTTTTTAAAGAGAGTGGGGGGAGACAGGCAGCGAAGGGTCATGGCTGGGAATGGAACCAGCGACTGCTGCAATGAAGGCTTTAGGCTCCATATGTAGCGTGTGGACAACTTTTCGAGCAGGATTTACAGAAGAAGATTTCGTGTTGTTGCGACGTCTGATTCACCGGTATATCCAACATGGCCGACCGGCTGATTGTTTACATGTCGGAGAACAGAGTGCTTTTTGATAAAAGACACAAACATTACAAAGATAACGCCCTGAAGGATAGTTTGTGTGCTTGAACATTTTGCTAAACGTCTTTGTTTTAACTTTCATCTGTGCTAACGTAAGCTAACGGTTGTTACCATAGTTTCATGTGCTTATCTGGTACTGGCTCCGACTCAGTACATGCTATCATGACAGAAAGCCATGTCAACACTAGTGTCTAGTCCTCTGCCTCTTCAAACTTGGAGCTAATTGTTTCAGCAGAACTTCAAATTGTCCAACAGACATCCGAAAATAGGTTCTGAAGCCACCATGGTGCAGTTTCAACTCCTGAACCAAGCAGCTAAACTCACCAAGTTCTCTTCTTTTTTGTAATATTGGATTCACCCATGTGCGACGTTTCTTTTTCTTTTGAGAAAGAAAAAGGAGTACCGATTCGTCATCACTTGAAGTTGAAGTAGACTCCATTTTTGTCTTCTCGCTTCTACCCGGGACGCTGTAGGATGGTAAGAGAAGGTCCCACCCTCCTACGCCTCTGTTTGGCTATAAGTGCTGACTGTTTGGCTTGAGCGTGTGATGGACTTTCCCCAGGAAAAGTCTTCCCCGGGACGCGTCTTTTTTCCCCCTAGAAAGTCGCAAAATCGCATCGGGCTTGATGTGTATAGTCAGGCGCATCAAAATTCGCCTCTGAATATTTTGTTATTTCCCGTCAGATATTTGTGTCGGTCGCGGTGTATAAGGACCTTAAGACTGGTTTGTGCTCAAGTTCTCTTTTTTCACCCGGGGGTTACGCTGATTGAGTGGAGCGTCATCACAGCAACTCCCCCGCCGAATGCGTACAATTCTACTGTGGAAGTGGTGGTTCCAGGGAGTGGGGAAAATCCCAGAAATATCGAGAGCAATTCGGCTTCCAATTCGAAGGCGGAGCCAAGTTATCCGAAGTATAAAAAGTCTATGGAATTTCCCTTTGGGGATCAATAAAGTTCTTATTTTGTGCAAATCAACTAATCAAATTAAGCTTGTCTCTGGTCAGCTGTTCTGACCTGCATGTTGGTTGCTGTGCAGTTGCAATGCCACGTTCTTGCAGTCTTGGTCTGGCAGCTTGGTTTTAAAACTTTTTGCTGTTGTTTCCGTGCTGCACAGTCAGCGCACCAACCCGATGCTGAGGCAGCCATCAAGCATGCAATGAGCTCTTTCCTGCAAAAGTACAGACAGAGGATCCATGTAGCTCGGCTCGGCTGTGTGGGAAAGGCAGGAGGACCATGTCTCATTCAAACATATGCTCCTCTGATTTCCTCTGCCTGATCTGTCTGCTGCATCTGTTGCCAAGCGCAGCGCGCAGCAGACACACTGTGACCAACAACAGCATTGTGCGGGTGTGTGTGTGTGTGTGTTGGTGTAGATGACACGAGAAGAGGAGGCCAGAGGGGCACTGGGGTTGGGTGCAGGGGTACAGGGAGGGAACAGGTCTGGTGGCTGCCGGGGTAAGGTGGGGGGTACGAGGGCACCAGAAGGGCGTAGAAAGAAAAGCAGAGAATACAGTCATTACCCACCCAGGGCTATTCCTCTCTGGCCCATTAGCTGCTGGCGGCCGTGACCAATTGGGTTTTGTCGCTGCTAGCAGGGTCATCCAGTGGTGGTCTGGGCCTTTTCTATAATGGACGCTCACTCAGCCGTCCTCACACAAAACCTTTAAGAGGAAAAGAAAATTCTCTCCCTGACTCTCTCTCTCTCTCCTCTGCCTCGCCGTTTAAAAAGACCCAGTCAGGCAAGAAAGAGAAAGAGTGAAAAGTGATCATGAAAAGAGATTTGTTGCGATGTGAGGCGCGCGGGGAAGTGATCGTTTAGCCACACGTGGGGTGAAGGGGACTCCATGGCGGTGGGTCTTGTTAACCCTCTTGACTCGTATGCCAGAAAAAGAAAAAAAACCAAATCAAATCACTGCGAGCCTCAGAGTCTGAGGATGTGGATTCTTGTGAGAAAGAGCTCACAACTTCACAACTGGCCCGGCGTGTGTAATTTTCAAAGTGGAAAGGAGGAATTTGAATGGGCCATGGCAGATTATCCGGCGTGTATGAACACTGATCCCTGAACTCAGATGGTTAAAATGGTGCCGCTGGAACAGCAGAGGGGTCTCTCTGTGTTTACGGTTTGATTTCATGTGGTGGATCAGCTGAAAACAGGTGTGAGGGAGGTGATAAAGACGGGGTCTGAGAAGAAACATGCGATTAATCAGATTCCCAGTGTGACAACAAGCTCTCTCTGTAACTCCTCCATCTCAGTCTGATCCATAAAAGTGTCAAATCTGGCTCGAAAGTGGTCTTAGTATAACCTTTTAGTCTTTTAGTGAAAAATACACGATATATAAAAATTCCAACATTTGAGAGGGGGGAGTTATGTTTTTTATTTGTTCTGCTCATGGCCATTTTTAAGCATTTCCATACATATTTACCTGCCCCTCACTCAAAACAGAAATAAACAATTACATAAGATGGTCTGTCCACTTCAGGTTATGTTCCTATAACTTTACAAACAATATTACAACCACATCAAAATCGTCAAAACACTACTCGTCAGCTTCATGTTTTGTTCTTCCACTTTCTTTATATTTTGTTTGAAACTGAAATATGTTTGTGCAGCCTTTTAAATTATTCTGTATGGAGTTCCACATTTTAACCCCAACCACAGAAATACACATCCGTCTCAATTTTGTCCAGAGTCAAAACAAATAAAACAAATTTTAGTCAAAATTTACTCTAACAAAACCTCATCTGAATGATTCGTTGCGCCTCCAGCAGGGGTTAAAAAATAAAAAAACAAATTAAGACATTAAGAAGTTTTCAGTTTCGATGCTGAGATTTCTAATGTTGTCATTTTGTGCACATAAATGCATACTCCATCCAGTACGAGTCGTGCACGTTTGTCTGTGTGTGGGTGTGTTTTTTTTTTTTTTTTTGTCCAGTCCAAAGCTGAATAAAAGGCCAGTTAGCCACCTAGCGGGCTGCTAATTCTCCATGTCAAATACAATGGCTGCAATTATATGGTAATCAGTGTTGGTGGCTCATACCTTTCTGCTGCTTTCTGGGAGTGTGTGTCTGGCCAAGCTGCTCCTCAGGGAGACGGTTAGTCACGGCTTATTATTGACCCATTAGACACCCGTCCCACTCGCCAGAAAGAAACCAGTCGCAGGCTCGCAGGCCGCGCTGCATTCACTGAACAACAATAACGAGAGGAGGACTGGAGATGAAGTTAATCATTTTGTTATCTGTGGACGGGCTGAATGTAATCATTGCTGCCAAATTGTGATTAAGATTGTTATCTTTGATAGACCTGAACAGAGGTTTGGCCTGTTTTACATCATAAATAACCACTTAACTTGGAGTAGCTGAGTGTGTCAGACATTTACACATCATTTTATTTGTGTTTATGATGAGATTTTTTAATTTAAGTGCACCAAAACTTCAGAAATTACGTATTTAACACTACTTTCTGACAGTTTTGTGACTTATTAGAAGCTGCATCCTTTATTTGTAGAAAATAAATAAAACTCAACAACTGTCAAGTGTAAATAAATCTAATTTCTACAATTATCCATTTTGTAATCTTACTTTTCTAAATGCACGCTGCAAATGCGAAGTTAAATTCTGCCGAAGAGACCGTCTCTTTTCTCCAAATGCATCAGGAGTGTCCAGATTTATCTCACGCACATCACTTATTTCTGTTTATTCTTAAAAGTAGTGCATTTATTTCCAGTTTAATAGATTACAATGTGAAGTATGTTTCCAACGTGACACAAGCCTGTGGAGATATTCTCTTTCAGATCATCTCCTCCTCTTTGTCGCTTCTTCTCTTCGTCATATAATCGACAAATGTGTTTTTGTGATATAATCCCCCAGATCTGTCAACTCTGAAGCTTGCCCTCTGCTCCTCGCTCCCTCCGTAGCCCCCCGACCGCCCCGCAACACACCCACACAGACCCCTCTGCCACCTCCTCTCCCGTCCCCACCCCTGCAAAGCAAAGCTCTCTTTGTTAACCTAATGTGCTTTTACCAGTTGCTTTCTGCCAGCGAGACATCTGCTGTGTGCAACCAGTCAATATTGTGAGGACAGTTCAAAGCGGCCAGTTCATTATCTGTGTCAGCTTAACAACCCAAAGGTAGCGGTCTAAGGGACACAAGGGGGAAGAGGGGGAGGAGGACGGGGGGAGATGGAGGAGGAGAGGAGAGGGGGGGACACAATGTGAGGGGATACAATAGACTCCTCATTAACCAGTGATTTATCATGATAGGATGCCCAGTTCAACCTTTGCCCCCCTACACACACACACACACACACACACACACACACACACACACACACACACACACACACACACACACACACACACACACACACACACACAGTGACACACACACCTCTGAAAACGATCCTATTGTTGGACAAAGTTGAGAAAAACTGTGAAAGTGGAGCTGGAAGTCAGACGGAATAGTTAAAAAGTCACATGAAAAGTGAAAGTGAAAGAAAATCCTGCGTTGGTGAAGTGTGTCCTTTTTGAGAGTGCAGGAATAAAGGAAGGCGAGGGTGGACACACTCAAACTTCAGTGCTTTTTCAGCTTTTTTATAGTCAAACTTGTTAAAAAGAAGCTGGTATCTTCTCTTGTGGTTATTGTAACGTTTGCCGCTTTGATTTAACTTTGCTGCCCTTTTAAAGCGTTTCACTTTGTTTTTGACCTTGCATCTTCCCCTCTTAAGAGCCAGCGGCCTCAAAAATCAACTTGATTAAACATTACACACAATCAGATTTGGCACCGTAAAAATGAGCCCTCCCCTTTCCTGAGCCGGGCTTTATGAAAGTCAAATCTCCAGGTCATGATGATATCATACATGTCAGAAAGCCTCTAAAGATGCTCCATGCATGCATATGCAGAGAGATCATAGTCCGTCCTCGGCCGCTCGGCCCTCACAAAGGAGGAGCCTCCTCCTGCACATAAAGGCTGTATAATGAGCGTTTAATGTATGGCTTCTCAAAATGCAACAGAGAAGAGAATATTCAACGTGGCCCATGTGGTGGTTTTGTAAAGCTGCTGCACCGAGGAACACTCCCCTTTTCACTTTTCCGTCCTTTCCACGCAAACCCCCCCTTTTCTCCTCTTCCATCTCTCCCTCCCCTTTCTGAATCCATTTGCCTAAATCAATCTCACAGGAGGCGGTCGTGGATAATGTACCAGCCAGGGTTTGTAAACCGTTTTGTTAACAATGCATTTTTGAAAAGAAAAGAAAAGAGGAGGAGAGATAAAGCGAGACAGAGAGAGGGAGAGAAGAAGAGAAAGAGGGAGAGAGAGAGAGAGAGAGAAACGGGGCAGAAGGGTGCTGAAAGAGGAACAGTTGGGTGGGTGTGGTGTGCGGCGCTGTTTGGGACAGGCCCTGTCGACTGGTGACACCCCTGTCCCATCTCCTCCTCCTTCAGCTAAAGCCCGCATCCGCCCAATTCGGTCCAGTCCTCGCTTTAGTCACACCACCTGCCTTCACCATTCTTCACCATACACCCACCCGTCCACTGACAGCACCAACAGACGGTGTAAACCCCCATAACTCTCCCTAAACACCCCTCACACACTCACTGACAGGGCCGGTGTTTCCTCCATAGGATTAAATCGATCAATAATGAGCATTGAGAGATGATCAAGGTCAATTACTCAATAATGTTAACATTCTGCTCAGGGGTGACAGGAGGGTACATGGGACAACTACGAACAGGTTTATGTGAGGATCATGAAAACAACATATTTGTATTAAGTTTTGAAAAGACAGGGTCCTGTCCAAAGTGCTGATTAAAACAGACTTTGATGGTTTGAAAATCATTTAACTCTTTATTTATCTGAAAATAGTGTGAAGAAAATATTTATATGATGTTAAAAATGAACATTTAAATTGCTGATTAAAAAATATTAGGTAATTTTAAATTTGACGGGAGCATCATGTGTCAGAAAAAGTTGAAACAGGGACAAGAAATCATTGAAAAAAACATCAAAAACACCTTTGGACAATATTTAGGTTGATTTGCAGCAGGTCAGTGACATGAGTGGGTCGTAAAGCGCATCCCAGAGGAGATGAGCGTCTCAGATGTCAAGATTGGAAGAAGTTCACCAGTCACTGCGTGAGCAAACAGTTCAGCAGTGTCAGAATAATAATCCCCCCGGTGTAAAACTGTTATGAGTTTGAGGATTTCTTCATCCACTGTACATATTATTATAAAAAACAATTCAGAGACTCTGGAGGAACCTGTACAGAAGGGACAAGGCAGTTAAAATCACTTCCACAAACCACAGTGTCTGTGAACACAGAGTCCATAAATGCAAGTTAAAGCTGTATGCAAAGAGGAGACGATACAAACATGGCGTATTTAAGGCAAAGTGGTGACAGGAGTCTGCTAAACTCCCAACTTGTCAACAAGTAAAATCATATCACAAAAATACTAGAGCCGGGACTTTAACGTGTTAATTGCGATTAAGTCACAACTCAGTAACTCTGATACTTAAACCAAAAAGTAATGCGTAACTGAGAAAGTCACTTCTTAGTTCCTGTAAAATGTTCCTCCAATGCTCCCATTACATAAAGGTGGATTGAACAAGTTCCCCTCCTTCCCCTTAAACTGGTTACACAAATAATGCATTTTTAATGAGGCATAACTAGCTGCAAACTTTATGGCCCACAAAAAAATAGAATAGAATAGAATAGAATATTCCTTTATTGATCCCCTCTGGGGGAAATCTTTTTGTCACAGCAGCATCACAGACAAAAAGTGCAAAAATGCAGTTATAAAAATAAAGATCCTAATATTAAGAACTTAAATAAATGTAATAATTAAGAAAAAAAAAATGAAAAAGGAAAAAGGGAGAAGAAAAATAAAACTATCTACAATATACACAATTTAAATGCCAGAAAAAAGCGGTGGTGTAAATCAAGTTATTATTCCAGTTCGTTGTAAAGTCTTATTGCAGAGGGGAGGAATGACCTGCGGTAGCGCTCCATCCTGCAAGGTGGAAGTCTCAGTCTGCTGCTGAAGGAGCTGCTTAAAGCCCCCACAGTCTGGTGCAGTGGGTGAGAGGGATTGAGAGGGAAAATGAGAGATTCCAAACACCAACTTTTTCTCCAAACTCCTCAAATACACCTTTTGGAAACAGATCCGCAGACAAGAAAAAGACCCAGACATACTTTCTGGACTCCTGCAAACTGGAAAGTGATGCTACAAAGACGAAAAGACTACATAAACATGTCTTCATCAGCTGCAAAAAGGATTGCCAATATAATTTTATTTCACCACAAGTTCAACAAATGTTATGACCTTAAACTCCAAACTGTTTTCCACAAAAACCTGCCTCCATTGTGTCTGTTTAATCTGTAAAAGCAGTGGTTCATCTGTTTCTGAACAAGTTATTAGTGACAGGTCCCATCAGCAGGGACCTGTTCCTCCATGTGCCACTTTGCCTATCAAAGCCTCTTTTAGCCTGAGGAGGCCTGGGCCAGTTTGACACCATATTCCCACAGGGCCCTCTCAGATCTCCACCAAAGCACCCATTACTGGATCATAAGCTGCAGAATCAGGCGACACCGGACAGGAATCCCCAGTAGGGTCCCGTGCATCAGGGCTGATTTGCAACATAAGCCCCCCAGTGATTGCCCATTAGTCCCCGTCGCCACTGACAGCAAGTAGCAGGGTAGCATGTGTAGCTTTGACTCTCTCCTGTGCGTTTCTATTGAAGGTTTGCTGCCATCACGTCCCCTAATTGGCTGTGAGGGGTATTAAAAGAGGTCTTGGCTTCAGGGAATTGATAGTGACATCTGATCTGATGTCCACTTAAAATGAAGACGATGTTGAGTCATCGTGTGCTGACAGAGGAGTTCCCCCCACGGGATGAGGCTTAAGATCTGATGATTGATGGGTTCTTATAATACAAGCCTCATGTGTCAAGGTTGATTTGACTTTTTATTCATTTATTTGGCCACTAAACTTTAAAGCAATTCTTTTTTTTACATTTAAAGAGGTCAAAGAAAAATCTGAATATGAACTTCAGTTTAGATTAATAAAAAATACAGACAGCGCAATACTTTCCAACAAAGGTTTATGCCATTTACTTTGGCCTGGTTTAAAATATTTCCACTGAAACTTTTAAATAAGTTTGATTTAAAGTTCAAATATCAAGACTGGTTTGTGCTCAAGTCCTCTTTGTTTCTGTGCAAAAAAAGTTATTAGGAGGTTCATATTTTCTATGATTGACACTTAATACAGCCTATACAGAAGATTGCATAGCTCACCTGGGAGAGTCACTGTTTGTGCCAAGTGACATCTCAGCGACTCTCCTGCCAAATGCGTACAACGCTACTGCGCAAGTGATGGTTCCAGGAAGTGGAGAAAATTCCGGGAATACCGAGAGCAATTCCGCTTAAAATTCGTATAATGCTGGAAGGCGGAGCCAAGTTGTCCATAGTATATACAGTCTATAGTCACAGCTAGTTCGTAACGGTTTTTAAAAGACTTATATCATCATGTTGGACAGACACACTTAAACAGAAAAAAAGGTTCAGCTCAACTGTGTTTTCCCACTTAGTGTCTTTTTCAAAGAATTCATCATTTTGAAGTTTTAAAAAGGTTTTCATTTATGTAAATGAGAGTGATGAGAGTGTGAATTTTGCCCCACCTTGATTTTGTCATCACTAGAGGATGGCCACCATAGGAATATAGACCATTTGATATCACACAGCAGATGTCTCGCTGGCACGACTGACAACTTTCAAGAAATTTCACATTCTTCACGTGTTTTTAAGAAAACTTTTCATGAGTCAACCTCTAACAAAAGCTGTGATAGATCAAAAACTGTGATTGTAAGCTTCAAACTTTCTTCTTGTGTTAAAGTGTCATTTATTCTACGTCTACTGGAGCTGCATCTGATTTACCTAACACTCTGTATGTCCACCAGAGACCACAACAGATCCTCATTGAGCCAACGATCAGTCAGAGCAGAGCGACGCATGAGCCAGCCTGCATGTGGTCCGCAGATCAGAGCGCAGACACTGAGTGTGGTCCATCAACAGCTCTTCCTAATCAACCCCAGAGACCCCGGCCTTTTAGCCGCCAGCCCTCAACACGTCTCGCTGTGTTTACTCACACTGATTAGTTTGGTAAGTGTACAGAGTGTCCCGAGGACGGTGATCTCTGAATCAATGTGCCCCTCAGTCCCATCCTTTATCTTCCCGTCCCTCCGTCACAAAAGCCAGAGATCCTCTTGGAATCGGGGAGAGAAATTAGGGGATCAGAGTCGGCCAACTCCTGAGCAAACAGACTGAGCTAATGGACCAGCCGCTTTCTCCTCCCCTCAAATTATTAGCCGAGCGAGGGAATGTAGCCAGTCCAGTCATGATGTTAATGCTAAAGCTCGCTAATCCCTTACACACACAGCGGCCTCGCACTTGCCTTGATACACACACGGCGACGGGGTAATCAGGCCACCACCCAGGCAGTGGGAGAGCCCGAGAGTAAAGGAATGAGACTGAAAGTGAGCACATAGACTCGGAGGGGTTCCCAGGGGTCCTGAAAATGTTGTGGGTTTGTGAGAAAACTGAAGAAGAATCAAAGTCTTCAGAGCTGTTTGCCAAACAGGACTAACGGTGACTTTCTGTTGTACGGTCTTTTTCATTCACACCTGTTTGAGATTTTTTGATATGCAGAGTAATAAAGTTACAATACTTGTACTTGTTTTCCTCCAGGCTTTCACTTTTATTCACACAAATATCAGCGCTTGTTTTCTTACTCATATAACCTGAAACACGCTTGTGACTTCATCTTATAGTGCTTGTAATTTAAAGTTCATACTACGTGGAGATAAGGGGCGGTACTAACAAAACAAAACAAATGTTAATTTTTGTTTTTAAGTTACAGGAGAGATGTAAAAAATATAAAAGCTATTAAATAGCTTTGAACAAACCATTTCATTTATCTGTTTAACGACTTTCTTTGAATAGTGCAGAATAAATAAGTGTTGTTTGATTTTAGCTAAAGAAATGATTATAAGATATAAGCCACAGTTGCCTGACAAGTTTAGGTAATTATTTCAAGCTCACAATAAAACCTGAATTGTTCATAATGAGTACAAAACGATCGACCATCACGAGTTTCTTGAAATAAGAAAAATGCCTCAATGTTAGAAACGTACAGTTTTAGAGATTATCCGAGCCAACAAAGCTTTTTTTTTCACTCATTAAAAACAATTCAGGTCTTAGTTTTGGTTAATACAACCTAAAAATAATTAACTTACAACTTACAAATATTTATATGGACTTGTTGGGAGACTTCGACTTTAAGTTTTAAGTATTTGCAGTGCTACAAAATGCAGAAACTGTACAAATCACAAACTATTTTCTTTCCTTACTGTATTCTTGTCCTATCTGTTGAAAGAGTTAACTTTTGGAACAGTTTTGATGACGGATTATAAGTTTGCCGAAACTAAACATTGTTTTGTTGAGATGTAACCGAGTAGTCACAGGGTTGTCTGTGGGTATGTCTTATTTACAAGGGTGGGCAAAGTAAACTGCAG